TATAATTTGTACTCTCTTGTGACTTTTTGCTCAAGCCAGAAACATCACATTTTTAGAGATTTCAAAGCTTCGTGAATGGTGTCTAAAAGTAGGCAATATACTGTTCACCTCTGTATAAATCACATTTAATTTTTCCCTGCCTTCTTTTTGACACTTTTAAGAAGAGTTTGATATACCTAGAGATTTTCGAAAGCCGCCAAAATATTCATACACACTTTTGGTGCCCAGACAGACTCGAAAAAACGTGTAAAAATCCCATTCAGCTCATTTTTGTCGCTCTCGAAACGATGGTGAATTGTGGGTTTGGTTGGGGGTTTTGTATTCCTCACCACAGCACTCGTAGGTACACTCACCACACTCACGAGTGCATTTACATCCCGAAACTATCTCTGCTCTCATCCCCAGAATTATTATTCGATACTCAGTGTACTCATTTCCGCACTCATTTTCGCCGTCTTCGTATTTTCGCCCGCCGCAGAATAAAGAAACAAAAACAAAAGAGTTGACAGGGATTTACAGAGATTCGTTTTGCCACCCATCCAGAACTAAAGAAAAAAATTAAGAACGCTTGAAAAATATACCCAAGAAAGCGTAAGCGATAGTCGATGTCTGACAATGTGGATTTCTAGACTAAGCGCTCCTCTCTATTTATCTCTCTCTATCTCTTTCTATCTGTGCTATCTCGCTCCTTTTGTTTTTCTCTTTTGCTTATTTTTGTATCTTTTTCTCTTTATTTTCATGTTCCATTAAAACCCGATTCGATTTGTGCAATGCAAATAACTCACCACCAAAACAATCAAATCAAATCAATCAAAAAATACGAACAACGCTCCACCGAAAACTGATAACCGATAACTGATAACCGATAACGATAACTGACAACCGCAAATGTATACACAAATACATCGAACGCATTTGTGCACGTATTCGATAACTGCCCATCAATCAATCAATCGATTTCGACACCACAATCGACAACAAAATTATCGCCAATTATCAACAAAACCACCTAACCACTCTGTCTCCACCTAACCTCACATTCACCCTAACCTCACAAACGATGACATAACCTCATTTGTGTTGAACTCACCACACGCAAACACGTTGAAAAAATGAAAACAAAACAAAACGAAACGAAATACACACGAAACCCACTGTTGAACACACATATTACACGTCGCCGAATCCTACGCTTTGCCTTTCCCTCAAACCCTCGACCTTGGGCTTTTCACCCACCAACCCTTGAACCACCCACTATCCTCTCCTTCCACCCCCTTCCCCCACACATGCACATAATCAACGCTAAAAAAATTCAAAATTTCTAAACCTACACCCACAACAAAAAACAATGCAACAAATGCCCTACCAAAAATATCGAAAAAATATATACAAACCTTTGACCAAAACCCGAAAAAAAAACCAAAAGAATGGAGCCACCGATACCCAGATCGACTTGTCGGCTATCAACAAGCAATTGGAGGAGACGATCCGAGTGGCCCGTCAGGTGAAGGAGGCGGAAGCAGCCGCCGCCGCCGTGGCCGCCCAATCCCTGTCCCCATCCTCCGCATCCGCCTCCTCGCCGATCGCCCAGGCGCCCATTCCCCTGAAATCCAACGAGCCCATCCAGCTAAGCTTCAACAACGAACTTCCCAGTGTCTCGACCTCTGCCGGTGTGAATGACAAGGCCTTGAGCACCAACGATCTTCAGCTTTCCGAGTCCAAGTCGCCGGCGATCGATGAGCTGACCCTCGACTCCGCGGAGGAGACAGCCGACCTGGACGATCGTAACAAGAGGTAAGTGAGGGGTTCCTCCTTCCCCACATCATTGCAAAAAACTTTAATAATTAAAAAACACTAAACACATAACTAATCTCACACTATCCTTTCCTTTTCAACCCTACAACAAATGGAAACACTTCAACCATTAAAAAATAAAACCCACTAACTAACCGAATATTCAAAAACTATTCAACAACTTACTAATTCATATCAAACCAAAAATTATAAATCTATACTCTATAAAATATCAACAACACGGGAATACGCTTCACAACCAACCAATATACATATGATTGTAAACTGATGATTTAAAATTCAACAACGATTCAACAACATTTAAATTCACTCAACCATTACCCAATTGGAATGGAATCTCCCCACCTCAACAACTAACTAATACAAACTATATTCGAAACATATAAATCAAAATTCAACAACGATTCAACAACATTTGAAACTCACTCAACAATCACCCAATTGGAATGGAATGTCCTGTCCTGAACAACAAAATTCAACAACAACATATAAATCGAAATTCAACAACAAATCCATATTCAACAATCATATGATTTCGAATGGATAATCACCAATAGCAATCTGTTCAAAAGGTTCCTCAGCTTCGGCGGTGCGGGTCTGGCCGGTGGCTCAAGCGGCGGAGCAGGTGGCTCGCCCAGTGGCAATGCCTTGGGAGCCGGAGGCTCTGGCAACTTTCTGCTGGACGTGGTGAGGGTGAGTACCCCCTTGTTATTAATTGACCCATTTAGATGTGTCTAATTTGAATATTTCCCCTCCCTGAAACACCAGCTCTTTTCGGGCAGCGTTCAGACCCAGCAGGGCGACGAGGCGGCCAACTCGGTGGGCGGCGGAGCCGGCAGCAGTAGCGGCGGAAGTTTGGGTGGCGACGGGGACGCGGATGGCGACAGCACCCGCAACGCCGACGGCTACACCGAGGGCATTCCCGGCCCAGTCACGCGCCTCGTGGTCCTGGCCAACCGCGGTCTGGCCAATCTGGTCCAGGACTTGATACTGGTGAGTGTTTAAATGCATAAATATGATTCAGTAATCAACAAGTTCTCATATCTTATACCCTTCCCTTTCAGCGCGTTGCGGCCACCAGCGAGAAGTTCGTGAACTTCAAGGCCAAGCTGATAACGGCGCTGATCTAAGGTCAAGGGTCAGCACCGGCCACGCCCTGCCCGAATTAGTCAAGTCACCAACCTGTACAGAGTCAAATGCAGCAGATCACCCCTCTATCTCGCTCCCTCCCCCCGGAACGTCTGTCTCTATCTTTCTCTGTCTCTCCCTCCCCCCCAAAAAAACCACCTCCTCCACCCCCTCACACCCACACACACACACACGCCCACTCACTCACACGGAGACAATTTTGTTGTGCATCATTCGATCAAAGAAAGTTCCCGGCAATTCCAACATTTCTTTTAAATTTTTAGCCAATTTTTTTATAACAAAAACGAAATTAGTTCGATTAACTAAACACAAAAAAATCATAAAATTATAAGCAAAATTAAAAAAAAATACAAATCAAAGAATTTTATTTATATGTATCAATAAAAAACAAAAATTAAAACGAAAGTGTGAAAGCAACATTAATATGCATATGTATAGAAGAAGAAACGCCTGATACAGATATTCCTGCCCTAGTGCTATATCTTAATATCTTCTCCCCACTCCCATTGGCTTTTGTAAATATTTTGCTATTTGCAAACTTTCCTCACCACTTTTCCTGGTCTTTTCCTTAATTTTTACCGCCCCTCCTAACCGTTTTCCTCCTTTTTTGTGTATATTTTGTGTTCTATTAAAAAAATCATGACTGTGGTGTTTTATTTACTATTATTTTTAATTATTTTAAACGAAAACGAAGCGAAGAAGATGAAGTTGATGAAAGGATGAGGAAGGACCCGTCAAGTTTCCATTAGAAGAAATGTTTTTTTTACTTGCTGTTGTTGGTCAAAGAGCCCCAAAACACCCATACACACAGACACGCACACTCACTGAAGCATACTCAACATACATACATATATAAAGCGATTCGATATGCCCATTATATTATATAGATCCGTTCTTGTTCGACTTCCCTGTGTCCCCTGGATTTGTTTGTAACCCCCCCGTAATCCTAAGCGAATTGTGTTTTTCTCACTATGATTTTTTCTAGCCTAGCTAAGTGAAACTTTCGAAAAATGTGTATAAAATAAAAGTGAAATCATTTTAAAAACGATCTGCTTGGTATTTTATGTTGTACAGGTGGGCTTGAACTCTACACAGGTTAAAAAATGGCAAAAATATTTGTATTATAATTCATAAACGAAATATTTAACACAAAACAGATGATGTTGTCTAAAATTACTTTGAGCTTTTTATAATTTAGTGAACGTTTTTAATATTTATATCAAAGTTTATAGGTTCATAGTTTCATATTATAAATAATTGTGACAAGCCACACGCTTAAATAAAATGCGTTTGTAAACTACTTAATATGGAAAATTACTCATAGGCAAGCCAATCGCATTTTATATTCGCACAATTCAGCTACTACAAAATATTCCAAAATTAATAACCATTGTGAGAAATGTTTTCGGGCAATTAAAGAGCATTTGCAAATATTTGCACAATTTCGCAGTGAGCTGGTTGGCTGCTCACCCTCTCGAATCTGGTTTATAAATATCTGGATTATCCATCCCGGCACATCGCGCTGCTTGAGTGGCTGAATGAATGACTGAGTGACTGACTGACTGACTGACTGACTGACTGAGTGACTGAATGACTGACTGACTGAGTGGAACGCATGCGTGGCATGTGTGCGGTCCAGAAAAACCAAAAATAAAGGAGCGCAGAGGGAAGGTCAGGGTCTAATGTGCCACTTCCGCTTTCCACATTTCCACACAAAAACAAAAACAAACAAATCGCCGATGGACAAATGGACAAATGGGGATGGATATGTGCTACTTATCCTTGGATCGCCGGCCACTTGATGCACAATTAGTGGCGCACAAGTGCGGGCATTGAGCATTCCCGCTTGTTTTGACAAGTGCACACATTTAGCGGAGGAAACGCTCTCGTTATTGTTTCCCATCTTCACGCACAATTTGTCGTCACTAGCCGATGACTTAATTCATTTAGCAGAACAGAACAGAACAGCACAGTACGAACATAAATATGTGGCGGGTGGGGGGTATATTCCTTATAGAGAAGTGTATGTAGTCAGGGAATCCACCGGAGAATCCGCTCAGTTGCTCGCCAATCGCCAGTCGCCGCGGTCATCGGATGGCGGTCTCATCCTCGTACTTGATGGCGGTATTCGCCCAGGACAGCAATAGCAGTGGCAGTGCCACCGGGAGCGGATGCAGTGGCGCAGCCGCAGACTCCGAGGACTCACAGATGGGCCTGGAAACCCTAGGGCACCAGGGTAGCCACGGGCATCACGGGAGTCACAGGAGGCGGCCGCCGCGCCAGAAGATCAACGCTAGGGAGCGCTACAGGACATTCAAGTGAGTCTTGAGAAGTAATTGTGGCTAGAAAATGGAATCAATAATTTAAAAACATTTTAAAAGGAGTCAGAAAACTATTAAATTTAGAAACTACCACTTAATGCTTCTCAAAAGTTTTACTAACATATATATCCATCAACAAAAGATTTAATTTTTAAACAAAAACAGCATTGAATTGCAGGGGAAAGCCCAACAATTAGACAGGTGAACAAATAAATAAATAAATATGCAATTTAATATGTTTTGTATTCATTTTAGGGTTTTGGTGTTTCATTCAATATATTTAAAATGCCGATATGTGCAGGCCTAAACTTTTTTGCATTTTACCATTTAGTAATCGTATCTATTCATGATAGCCCACTTATTTTATATTTTATTTTTATTCATTTCGCAACCCAGTGTAAATTCCGCTTACGAAGCTTTGAGAAACTTAATACCCACGGAACCCATGAATCGCAAGCTGTCAAAAATCGAGATCATTCGCCTGGCTAGCAGCTATATAACGCATCTCAGTAGCACCCTGGAAACAGGTACGTTTGAAACATTAATTAATAATAACAATAAGTTCATATTAATATTTCAATTAATTTCGAAAGGAACTGAATGCCAGCCATGTTTGCTACACAAATACGAGAACGAAGGCATCGCCAGGCGAATCAGCATTTGCACCTTCTGCCTAAAAACCAAATGAAATTGTTGATATCCGAACTATTTATTAATAAGTGTACATTTTTTTGTCGTATCTACTGCATTTAAAGTCCTTTTTGAAAACCACCTTTGAATTGCGCGCCCAGCATCAGCGCCATCTATGGAAATTTCCTGCAACGAGATGTAAACTGCTTGCAAAAACTGAACTGCTTTCCTACATTTTTAGTACACCTGTGTCATCTCGATCTCTTAATATTTATTAAAATTTAAATAGTATAAGCAAAATTAATTTTAGAAAACCTGAAGAAGAAACGTACAACTCTTTGGTTCGATACTTTAAAAGGGAAATGACAAAATAAAATACTTTTCTAATTGCCACCAAAGTGTCGCCCTCTGCTCGGCTGTTTTACGCAACGCAACAATAACCTGTCACCACTGTTAAAAATATCTAAACGTAAGGCAATGTGAGCTAAAACAAATGCAACGCGTACAAACAAGAAGGTATCAATTAAAATAAACATTGAAATAAACATTTTAAGGAATGCGTACTTAATATACTATAATATGAACAACTAGGTTAATGAATTAACGTACGAAATAACGACATTTAAAATTTAAAATCATACCGCCTAAACCAAAACTGAAAAATAGCTATAAAATAGCTTGCTTAGCTACTCTGCTCAGAATAGCTTCTGACTATTTCTACCAAAACACGAAACGGTCACACTAATTGCGCCAAAATATTTGGAAGCATAACTGTAAAGTAAATACTTCAATTTATACTAATCAAAGAAATAAAGCCCCCGCGATGGCCACAAAACGTGTGCTAACGCCCAGTAAGGCGGAAAATGTCCCCGCCGACGTGCCGCCGTCCAATCCCCTGAAGAAATTCAAGGAGCAACTAGACTTCGGGGCTGATGATCTGGAGAATATCGACTGGGGCGACGATGATGACTTCGATTTGGCGGTGGCCGGGGCTGTGGACTCCATAAGCAACCACCGACTGGATCTCAGCCACTGGCAGCGGTGCGAGGTGGCGCGGGTGGAGCAGCTGCCCAAGAAACAGGGGCTGGAAATCCACGTGAAGAGGATTTCTGACGGGGATCCGGAGACGGCTGTTTGCCAGCTGCACGCACCCTGGAGTCACATGGTCCTGGGGGTCGGGGACACTGTCTCCCTGATGGGCAGGTGGGATCCATCTGCCGGATGCCATGTGATCGACAAGGAGCAGGGCTACTGCGTCTCCCATCCGGATTTTCTCATTTCCGGCACCACAGTCACCGGTTCCCTCTTCTGCAAGCGCAAATCCGTTCTGCAGGAGCGTTTCCGGGGGCTGGACTCTGGCAGCTCCATAGTGGGTACTCATCAAGATCCACAGAACCCACCTAATCCCAAATTCATTCCTCTTTTCAGATGGTAATTGGCACTCTGGTGCATGAGTTGCTGCAAAAGGTTCTCCGCCAGAAACTCTCCCAGAAGGTTCAAATCCAATCCGCGCTCCAGGAGATGCTAGCCAGCTCTTCCTTGGCCCACCTACTCTATGCCAGCAATCTCAGCCAGGCGGAAATGGAGTCACAGCTGCTGAAATTCATCGATCCCATTGTCAGCTTTGTGGCCCAATATGTAAAGGGTGAAACACCGGATGTCCTGCCGCCAGAAGTCTATCGCGGTCGCATCCATGAGATCCGCGACATAGAGGAGAACCTCTGGGTGCCTCAGTTGGGGCTAAAAGGTAAGGTGGATGTCTCCGTGAAGGTAAGGAACCATCTGCGCAAGGAGGAAATCATACCGCTGGAGCTGAAGACTGGCCGAGCCAGCTTCTCCATGGAGCACAAGGGGCAGCTGCTGCTCTACCAACTGATGCAATCTGCCCAGGGCAGGGACACCCAGTCGGGACTGCTCCTCTACCTCAAGGAGGGCCTTCTGCGCGAGGTCCCCAGCGGGAGGAACGAACAGAGGGATCTCGTAATGCTCAGGAATGAGTTGGCCCACTGGCTGACACGGGAAGTAGTCGTCCCAGCTGAAAAAGAGGATCCCTTGGAGCCACTGCAGCTACCCGAACCCGTTTACCATCACAGTGCCTGCGGCAACTGCGCCTACAACACCATCTGCTCGAGCTTTGCCCAGAGGGACCCCAGTTTGGAACTCAGCGACTCGCATCCCCTCAAGAAACTTATGCCACAGCTTCTGGGGCACCTCAAGGAGCCGGATCACGCCTATGTGCAGCACTGGTGCGGCTTGCTGGCTCTCGAGGAGCAGCACAATCGTCTGTCTTCGCACTCGCGATCCTTTTGGACAGAGGATCCTGTAAAAAGGCAACAGCAGGGCAGAGCAGTTTGCCAGCTAAGGCTAGTGAAGGGTCAACGGGTTATTTTTGAAGAGGGACGCTATCGTCAGAGCTTGGAGCTCGATGAAGAGGCCGATGCCAGCCGAGATCTCAGTCTCAGTGGGGTATTTTTAGTCCCAATCCATCAAAAAACTATTCTAATCTTGAATCTGTCTTGCAGTTCGACGTGGGTGAATATGTGGTGATCAGTTCCAGCTCGCGCCTAGCCATTGCCTCTGGTTTTATTGTATCCCTGGAGGCTCGTCGCTTGGATCTCCGCCTGGAGCGCGATCTTAGCCAGCTGTATGGGCAGGAATCATTCATCATGGACAAGCACGAGTCACAGAGCTTTGCCACCTTCAATTTTACCAATCTTGGCCTGCTGCTCTCCGATGGTGAGCGCTTCCAGGAGCTGAGAGACATTATAGTGGCCAAGAAGCAACCGGAGCAGCATAAGGTTCTGCCCAAGATCATCCTCACCAAAGGAGCTCCCATGCTACTACAATTGAACAAAGTTCAAAAGACCGCAGCTTTGCGCGCTTTGACCACCAGCAGTCACCTTTTGATCAAGGGTCTACCGGGCACTGGAAAAACGCAGACTTTGGTTTCCCTGGTCAGGCTGCTTCATCTCCTCGGCAAGAGTGTCCTCATCACGGCCCAAACGCACTCGGCCGTGGACAATCTCCTTCTGCGTCTGCTGCCCTTTGATTTGCCCATGATGAGATTGGGTTCCAGCTCTAGAATTCACAGCCAGCTGGAGGAGATAAGCGAGGATAAGCTTACGAAGGACTGCAAAACGGTGGAGGAACTAGAGAAGGCTCTGGAGAAGCCCTCCATTGTCGGAGTGACCTGTCTGGGCGCTGGACATCCGCTCTTTCAGCGTCGCCAGTTCGACTATTGCATTGTAGACGAAGCCACGCAGGTGTTGCAGCCTACTGTGCTGCGTCCATTGGTGCACTGCAGCAAGTTCGTGCTCGTGGGAGATCCCGAGCAGCTGCCGCCGATTGTCCGGTCGAAGGAAGCCCGCCAGCGGGGAGCTGATGAGACTTTATTCCAGAGATTGGACTCTGAACAGGCGACCGCTGTGCTGAGCCTGCAGTACCGCATGAACAAGACCATCACCCGCCTGGCCAATGAGCTCACCTATGGCGGAGACCTAAAGTGCGCCTCCGAGGAGGTTTCCGTCGCCAGATTCCAGGTGGAATTGTCCAACCAAGCCCCCCGGTGGGTGCAGCGTGCCTTGCTAACTCATTTGGAGCAGGCCGTCACCCTGATAAATACTGGAAATTGCTTCGAACGCTGTCAGGAATTCGTGCAGGCATCCCAGCGACTGGGGGAGACCTGCTCCTCCATTGAGCAAAGCTTTGGCGAAGACAAAGAGGAGAGCAGAAAGCATACGGCCAAAAGGAGAATATCCAAATACACAAACTACTGTGAAGCGGGCGTGGTGATGCATTTGCTGAGGCAACTATTGAAATCCGGCTTCGAGGCCTCCAGGATTGGAGTGATTGCTCCGTATCGGGCGCAGGTGGAGCTGCTCAAGAAGCTAGCCTCCAAACTGGAGCCCAACCTGGAGTGCAACACTGTGGATCAGTTCCAGGGCAGGGATAAGAACCTGATCATATACAGCTGTTCCAAAACAGGTGGCGAATCCGCTGATATGGAACGCTCGCGGGAGGCAGAGATCCTGGAGGATCAGCGCCGCCTAACAGTGGCCATTACCCGTGCCAAGAACAAGCTCATCCTGCTGGGAGATATCCAGTGCCTCGAGCAGTATGGTCCCTTTCGGCGACTCTTCAAGCACATCCCTGACAGATGTCGCCTAAAGTTGGAGGAGGGGCGCATGGAGTTCGCCTGGCAGCTGATCCAAGAGGACCTCGCCTCTCTGTTGGAGAACTAGGTAATTGTTATATACTTTGTTATTTGTATGCTTCACCATCCTTGAAAATTATCATTATGATTTTTGATTGTTCCATTGGCTGGCTAAACAAATTATTCTAAATGATATTCTATTTACTAAGCTTTTACACTTAAACTAAATATATAATACATTTTTTTCCATGTTAAAGTAAATTTATTTATAGTTTGGATTATTCCGAAGATTTCTTTCCTTTGCTTTCAAAATATAATTGAAAAAACTAACTATTGTAAACAAAACGCACTTCTTTAGCGTTTAAAAGATATGATTGAGTTTTTTAAGCCTTTTGAGAGTCTTTAGTAAGGAAAACCCTTTTGTAATTTTTAATTTAGCTATAGGAATGTTGTTTCCTTTTTCAAAATATTATTTGGTAATAGGTAAAATATTGTTGGGTGTTTAAAACCTCTTTATAACCTGGTTTCTTTTGAGGGTCCTTAGTGAGGAAAAGCCTTTTATAATTTGAATTATAGTCATGTAATCAGTAAAGTTGTAGAAACTTTTTCACTGGCTCACAAGATTTCTCAACAAATTCCCTTAAAATATTGTGATTAAATTGCATTATCAGGGATTTGTTTTGTCCAAGACTTGACGTAATCCTTTAATCCGAGAAATAGCTTAATAAACTATTTTCCGTGATGGGACCCTACATGTTCTTGAGACTCCCACCCACTCCACTGAATAAACGGTCCGTGTCTGTTCCTCCCACCACCTTCTTATCTGAATCCCAGTACTCCCGCTTCCAAACGGAAGTTGGGCACCCCGAGGTCTGAGCTGCTTCTCTGCGTGCCCTGAATATATGGGTACATAAATATGTACATGTACATAAGTATATGGAGACCCGGTAAAGGGCTACTTGCAGCGGATGCATTTAACAGCCAGGAGGCGAACGTGAGTCATCCTGGAGATGATTATCGTATCATTATCGTCATCGTCATCGTTCGCCGGGCAAATAGCAGTTACCAAATGCGAGATTGATTGCCCTCAAAGCAAGAAAGGCAAGAGCAGAAATAAAAACGAAACCAAATGAAATGAAATTTAATGAAATGAGAAGACAGCCCTATAAATAGGTACAAAATGAAAGGCTGGAATGGAGAGCCGAATGCCATAATACTCTTTATGCACTACTTGAATGTTAACCTTAAAATCACCTAGGTGTTGTTAAAACTGGGTCCTAATTGTACATCTTTAGATTATTATAGTTTGGTGTCAGAATTTTCAAATATTATAATTCTGTCTTGCTTTAACCGAGAGTAATTTTTGGCGCTATCTCGCTCTTTTCTCTCTTCGATTTTAGATACTTCTCAAAAATACCTAATAAATTTACTATAAGTATCAATTTATCTATATTTTTGTTTTGTGTTCTTAATGCAAAAATAAGGATCAATAAATCCAAAACCGATAATGATAAAAATGTAAATGCAAAAGAAAAAGTAATGTACACCTAACTTACCATCTCACCTTGAAAGTGAGTGACTTAGTTATAAGCCAGTCACTGGAAACTTGAAAATATTACTGCACAGACCTCTGATACAAGTTCGAATACCCCTAGAAAGAGCCAAAAACACCAAATAACTATTGGATGGCAGAAAGCGGACAGAGTCACATATAAGATATACGAGTTGGGAGTGGAGTGGACTGTTCGGAGAAAGAGGAAGAAAGACCCAGAGCAATAACAGTAACAGTCGGGGGATAGCAACAACAGTAATGGGCATAAGCAAATCGCTTGATAAAATATTTGAAATTCATTTCGCGCCGCCGCTTGGCAGCCGTTGGCATTTCGATGACAGCATTTAATGCTTATTATGTAAACTCTTTTTTCTGACGGGGGAATTGGGAATGAAGTGGGTCCAAAACAAAGGTCAGCCACAAAATTATTGGACACTGAATTGATTTTGAGTTCCGGCCAAACCCAAATCGTGGTTTTAAAAAAGGAGAAGAAAAAACCCAGAGACACACACATCATTTCCACTTGTGTGCGCAACAAATTAAGCCCATTAACCATCTTCGACCAGCAACAACCTTACCTGTTGCAATACATTGAGCACTCCAATCCTATCCCCAGATGATCCACAAAAGCTGGGGGCATTATAGCATCTTTAAGGGGGCTTAAAAACCATGTGAAGATGCGGGCTGGTAAACAGCGAGGGGGTATTTACTTTCGCACAGATTTCCAGGGAAAATTGCACAAACTCAGTTTAATAAATTAAACAGACATTGTTTTGCTTTAAATTTGTATTAAACTAAATGAAAATGTCTTTCTGGAATACCCTTCTAGCATTTGATTATGGAATTGAAGGTTACCAAGTACTATTTGCATTAAAGTTATCGAATTAAACTTAAAAAAGGGATTCCAAAAATAAATAGGTATTAATAGTTTCAATCCTTAGTTGATTTGGACCAATCTATATTCATTATGATTATCAATAAAATTATTCTTTATTGATAGGTATAATTTAAAATTAATAAAGTTCTTTTAAACCAAAAAATGTTTTAAAAAACGAATGCCTAGTTATTCAATTTAAATATAGATTTATTATCAATATGCCGGAGCAATAACAGAAATCGAGCTACTTTAGGTCAATGTTAAATTAACTTATTAAGTATTTTAACATATTTACTAAAAATATTTAGTAAAATATTTTCCAACACCTTATATTTACTTAGAACACATTTATACAAAGAAACAGGCTTAATTTATTGTTAACCAAGTTTTTTAAATATAACAAGGAAGAACGCTATAGTCGAGTACCTCGACTATCAGATACCCGTTACTCAGCTAAATGGAGATATGCAAGCAGCAAAGCGAGATTAAAATGCGCCACCTACTGGCGGTATACAGACTTAAGCGTTATGGGCGTTAGAGTGGGCGTGGCAAATTTTTTTTTGGATCAATCGATAGGTATCGACGAGACCAATACATTTCAGTTAAAATTTTTTATCTATCATGAAAATTGTGGGCGTCACAGGTTTTTGCGGTTTGTGGGCGTTAAAGTGGGCGTGGCAAACTTTTTTTTGAGTCAATCGATAGGTATTGATGAGAACAATACATTTTAGTTAAAATTTTTATTCTAGCATCAAAACTGTAGGAGCCACAGTTTTGGGCGGTTTGTGGGCGTTGGAGTGGGCGTGGCACATTGCTGAAACAAACTTGCGCTGCGTAAGAAGCTCAGGAATCTGCACGCCAAATCTCAATAGCCTAGCTCCCATAGTTTCCGAGATCTCAGCGTTCATCCGGACGGACAGACAGACGGACAGACGGACATGGCTAGATCGACTCGGCTAGTGATCCTGATCAAGAATATATATACTTTATGGGGTCGGAAACGCTTCCTTCTGCCTGTTACATACTTTCCGACGAATCTAGTATACCCTTTTACTCTACGAGTAACGGGTATAATAACCATAGGCATTTTAGGGGATTCACCTCAAGCTAAGCGCCTTTAAGGCATAAAGCAACATAAAAACCTCTTCGTGTCCACTACAGATACTGTTTAACTTGTTTATATTAGTATAACTACTGTTGAAATCCCTTTTATCATCAACCACAGCCAGAATGCCTTGCACAATCCCCATTTACCCCGATAATGGTCAACAATTAGTGACCGATTTCACTGCCATTTAGCGCTAAACCCGCAAAAGTGTGTCCATAATTGATAATTTTCTGGTCTCGAGGCATAATTAAAGCAGCGCCATTAGTTTGTAGCGCTTTTTGTTTGTTTTGCGGGTAATTTTAGGGCAAGAACGGAGTAAGCTTGAGTGTTTCTCTGCTGTTGGCAGTTAACTTGGCCAAAAGTGCCATGTTAACTGGTTTAACAGACGGCTTTTGCGGCTGCGCAGCAACTGGTTGTTGGGCTGGTGTTGCTGTTGCCGCTTGGCCTCTGTTATGTCGCATGTTGCTGGTTGCTGGTTGCTGCTTGCTGCCGCTGCTGTTGGCCACGCTTTTTGGCCACCAAACGGATTCAGTGCAGCGGCGACTCTCGAACGGTATTGTTGGCTTAGCGGTTATTCGCCATTTGGAGAAATTACTCTGTTTTTTTTTTTGGCTTGCCTTAACTTCGTGGTTGGAACTTTTCTTGCATTTTCCCATTTTTTTTTGTTTAACTTGGACCGCCTGGTTTTTTTCTTTTTTTCTTGTTGATTTTGCGTGCCTCGAGTGAATGTGGAAAATTTTGCAGATAGTTTTTCTGCGATTCGATATGTGTGCGCGATTTAGTTATTCAGTTATTGGGCCAAAAAGAGCGCCGCCGCGCCTGGCCGAAAGTGAAAAACTGAATGCGCAGACGTGTGTAACACAGTTTTTACTTTCGGCCTGGTTTTTACATATTTTTTCCCCCTTTTTTTGGCATCTCAGTTGTTGTTGTTGCTGCTGGGAGGCAGTGGAGCATTTAGCCAAGATCTGTGCAGATTGCATAAAATACAGACACAGCAGCAGCAGCAGCAGCAGCAGCAGCAACAACAACTGCAACCGCATTTAGCCCAGTTTTCTGAGCAAATATTTTCCAAAAGCTAACGACAAAAAATCTCACACTAAATCTTAGCGCTATTTTTTCCTCCTCGTCGTTGTCGTCGCGTTTAACTGAAATAATAATAACAACAACAACAACGGGAGCAACAGCAGCAGCAACAGCAACAACATCTAGCCCAAAGGAGCCTTGTATTGCCACCTCGACCAGCAAAAAGCCGCCAAAATGCTTCCGGTAAGTGGTTGCAGCAACTAAAATGTATGAAAAAAATTGAAAAAAAATCCGCGAAACAACTCTCGGCCACATTAACTGCAAAGCTGAGAAATCATTTTTATTTCGCTGCTTTTTGCCGCTTTTGTTGCCCGCATTTTGTACGCAATTAGCGCAAATCTGGCCAAAAGCCGTAAATATTTAGTCCAGTTCGGCATATCGGCACTGGATTTCCTGGCCCCCAAAAAAGGGGAGCTGGGGTGATTTTTCTCTCGCTTTTTTCTTCGATTTGCACAACCTTGGCAGGATCCGAAAGTTGTTATCCTTGTCCAGGGCTAAAGAAACGGATTATGTATGAGAAATATCAGGAAAGATCGCCAAACTGGTTCCTCTTCGTTCTAGTCGAAACTGAATTATTCATCGAGGCCGCGATTTCGATTTCGTTGGCCCGGTTTGACTTGATATTAAAATGTGTCTCTTAGATGATTGCATAATTAATGTGTGACACATCGTGCTGGGCGCGAAGAATTCTTCTGGGCTTAGATATAAGCATCCAACTTTATAGAGCAGCTTCCAGGGGAAAGTAAAAGTTTTTTATGACATTTGAAGAAGTTGTGCTAGACATTTAAATTCAACAAGCTCTAGACAAGATGTCAATATTTTAAAGTATCTATCTTTGTACATATTTACATATGAATTCCAAAATCAAATATTTTATAGCTTTACGATTGAGTCATTTCAACCTTTAATTTAATTTACACTTGTCTAAGCTTCATTTTTGATTTAATATTTTCTGCTTAGCCTTCTCAGAAATAAAACGCTTGATTAGTTATCATTCAGGTGGGGAATTCACAAAAAAAGTGAGAGGATTGAGAGATGCACGCCTACATAAATTGGTCTAAAAATCTCATTTACGATCTCTAGGCATTACATAACTGCAACTTTTACCCGATTAACACCTTTGAAGACGTCGAAGACGTCAACGATTGCAATTCCCATGCTAATCGAATCGATCGAGTGCAAAACTTTCAAACACGAATCCGAAATCGCCGAGAGATGTGTACATTGCACGCATATCAAAGATATTTTATAGATACATCCCCGACTTTTACTATTTAACTAGCCCACGGGCCCAAATCGAATCGAAATTTAATCGAAATGAGGCTGTACATCCGCTTGGACCTTCGATGAGGCATATTTCTGGCCCGAACCCATGATATTTCTCTGGCTCATGCAAATTTTCAGCTGCGCATGCGCAGAAAACTCGTTTAGGAATTGTTTTTATTTTTTTAATGGCCCGCTTTGTGTTATTTTTGTCAATTTTCGGCTTGAACTTATTTTTGGCCACGTTTTTTTGTATTTTGTGGGGGCGAAACAAGTTTGGCGACAAGTGCTGGAAAGACTAGCCAAAATGATGAGTCGCATCTCATCGAAACTCAACTCCGCCGTTCAATCCGTTTGACGTCAGTCTGCAAAAATGCGTGAGAAGAGGAAATCGGCTACGGCTTTTGTCTACCAAAAACAGGCGGAAATCGGTGGCCCAGCCCCAGAAAATAAGCCAGCGAAAATTGCCATTTGCAAATTCATGCAACTAGAGAGCAACAAAGCAACGTCAAAACTGCATCTGCAACATTGTAAGTTGCAACGCCAACGCAGCCGCACCCAAAAGACAATGACAGTGAACTGAAGATCCAAGACGAGTCGAGCCAATCCAACCCAATACAATCCAATCCGATGCGATCCCAAGCCGATCTCCGTCTGCTATATGCACATATTTAGTGAGCCGCCTATTCACTGTCTGGTTTTAAATTCAATGCCCTTTCCAACGGTTGCCTTGATTTCCACAAATTCCTGACAAAATACTATGCATTTATAGTGCTTTAGCGCCAACAACCAATCGACAACAAATTTTATTAATTTTATTGAATTGACTTGCTTTTTCTAAATATACATAATAAATTATACCATTTTTTTTTCCTTATAAATATGTTAAAATAAATATCTTTGTTCAACCCCTTGCAAAAAATGCGAAAATTGGTCAAAAAATAAATTTCGCGAAAAGTGATAGGGATCGATAGTCTTAGTTGTTAGCTGCTCATAACAGGGGGTCTTTTGTTATGCGTCTTGGTTTGACCAAATTACGACTTAAAAACGGCTTAAAAATAACGTATTTTTCGTCAAAAAATAATACTCCATATTTTTGCACAAAAAAATTCAGTATTTTGGTCGTCGAATTTCGATAGGAGGTCAGAATTACGAATGTGATACCTCGTTGAGCTCGTAATTAAATTCCCAATCAATTGGCATTTAAATCTGAAAAATTTAAATTTTGAAAAATTTTCGAAAAAAAAGATGATACAACCCCTTACAAAAAATGCGAAAATTCGTCAAAAAATAAATTTCTTTAAAAGTGATAGGGATCGATAGCCTTGGTTGTTAGCTGCTTATAACAGGCGGTCTTTTTGTTATGCGCCTTGATTTGACTAAATTACGACCTAAAAACCGCTTAAAAAGAACTTATTTTTCGCCAAAAAATAATACTCCATATTTTTGCACAAAAAAACGCAGTATTTTGGTCGTCAAATTTCGACAGGAGGTCAGAATTACGAATGTAATACCTCGTTGAGCTCGTAATTAAATTCCCAATCAATTAGCATTTAAATCTGAAAAATTTATTTTTTGAAAAAATTTCGAAAAAAAAGATGATACAACCCCTTACAAAAAATACGAAATTCGTCAAAAAATAAATTTCACGAAAAGTAATAGGGATCGATAGCCTTGGTTGTTATCTGCTCATAACAGGCGGTGTTTTTGTTATGCGCCTTGATTTGACTAAATTACGACCTAAAAACCGCTTAAAAATAACGTATTTTTCGCAAAAAAATATTACTTCATATTTTTGCACATAAAATGCAGTATTTTGGTCGTCAAATTTCGACAGGAGGTCAGAATTACGAATGTAATACCTCGTTGAGCTCGTAATTAAATTTCCAATCGATTGGCATTTAAATCTAAAAAATTTAATTTTTGAACATTTTTTTGGAAGAAAAGATGATACAAAAAAGGGATAGGGATCGATAACCGATAACAGGCGGTCTTTTTGTTATGCGCCTCGATTTGACTAAGCTACGACTTTAAAACGGCTTCTGTTTCCAAGTAAAAGTAAAATATAGTCTTTATATTTTAATTGTAATGTTGTAGGCAAGTACAAAAAGTTGATTAACTTAAACCAGCATTTTATTGAGTTCTGTATGATTTATGGGGCTTTCACGAAATTTTAAAGGGGATGAAGAGATTAATCGCTCTGCCATGCATCCACTTTTATAAATAACTAAAACTCATTATTTTTTGCATTGCAAAAAAAATTTAAAAAAAGGCAGAGTCATAAAATAATGAAGAGCTTTGAGTCTACTACTAAAAGATGTAATACATAAATATTGAAGCTCCCTGCACCCCGAAGATGCTGATCTCAAATCGAGGGGAATAATCTGACCCCGGAGGTGGCACATCCGCCTCGGAGTCGTGGAAAGGTTTTCAGATTGGCAAATCGGAATTCGCAGCCGGCTAAAAGTGAAACCCGATGAGCGGAGAGGTAAAAAGTGAATGTATACACGGGGTATACATATTGAAATTGGCGACCTGCGGGGGGTGATGCGTTTTGGCATTTTATTCAAAAAGCATTATAGAAGAGTGTCATTAAGTTACCGGTTTTTGGGCTATTAAACCACATTGGCTTGAAATTCCAGCATTCCCAGTGCAATCGCTTTTGGTAATTGTATCTGTCAGATGCACAGATACACGTGCATCGGGATCTGCCTTCAGTTTCATTGCAAAATTTGCCTCTTTTTTGTTTGGGTTTTCTGCTCGTTACGTATACGCCACCGGCACCAGGGGGTTAAGGCGGTGCTTGGCGGAGGGGGGAGGCGGGTTAAGAGCAGAGACATGCTCCAGAGACCGCCGGGATGATTCAATTCCATGACAACGACAGCGACAACAACGCTAACCAGCCATGTCTGCGAATTGCGGGCCAGTCGGGGGTTAAGGCGGGGGGTCTACTTCGGCTTTGATTTGGGAACATGCAAATCATTAACACACCGACAGCCCAAGGGGGTGGGAAGGGTGGTCGGTGCTCGATGCTCGGTGCTCTCTTTGATATCGGAGCCCAGATATCAAACTGAATTCGGTTGCCACTTTCGGTGTTTGGCAATCGCTCTTTAAGCTCCGCTTTTAATTTGTGTTATGCCATAACAAATTTGAAAGAAAATATAGTACTTTATGGGAAAATATTTAATTCAAATTTCAGAAAATATGTGTTTTGTAATTTTCTATTTAATTCCTTTTGGCACTTTAAATTGGTTTTTATTGTGTGCTATCATTTGCAACTCTATTAAACATTTTCTGACCTTTAAATCCATTGCAAATTGTATTTTAAATTGCTTCATTCCAATTTTTTTAAGTATTTCATTTATATTAAATGCAATCAAAAAATATACAATTCATTTTTATTTTTGTTTTAATAATTAGCACGTGGCAGCCCTTAAAATCTAACTTTTGTATACCATTCTTACAAGCAGATTAAATTCCATACAATTTACTATAATTAAAAATTATACAACTAAATTTTTATTTTGTTCCCTCATTTCACCTGTTTTTTTTTCCTTTATATTTTTGTTTATTTTCCTTGGCTTTCAAAATATTTGCGACTTGAAACAAAGGAAAATAAAGAGATATAAAGCCCACCTCTTGGCCAATTAAAAAGTATATACACTCAATGGCCGACACTTTCCATCAAAAATCAGATTCCCACCCTTGGAGCCCAGCCTCTGGGGTCTTTTGGCACCACTTGAGACGTAACTGTTAATTCAACTGACAGATATAAGCATATATAGCAGAGGTATCTGTATTTATAAGTATATATGAGTGCAAGACAGACTCACGGATCGGTTATGCGGCCTGAAGGTCAACGTGTTTCGCGGCGGAGAAAAAGCAAGAGTTATAAATTAATTTATTAAGCCAGAGCGCCG